GATCATTTTGATCGTATATGGGTTTGGGCGACGAAAAATATCAATTGAAGGCAATTACATAGGAGATTTATATGGAAACCATTGATCGCCAGTCTATCAAATTTTCTTCACAATTAAAATATCACTGATTGCACGGATACTCGTAAAAATAAAGTCATGAATAAACTATAAATATCCTATCTTCTTTATGTTATAAATAATTTAACAAGGATCATGAAGCTTACCTCCGATATCTCTGAGTGTATTTTTAATTTTATACGCATTCTTTCGATCGAATAATAACCGCTTCAGTAACATCTTTAAGCGTGTTGTGGCAGCCCTCAGCGTGTCTATTGCCGTATTGGGTGCCCGGGTGGGTATATAATGCTACTAAGCCCGTATGACCCCGTAAGAAGCGGAACATTAATTCTGGATTCGACAGTTTTGACCGAAGTGTGATAAAGCCCGTAAAACGAATGTATAGTTGTGTTTGTGCGGCATGCGTGTTCAAAAGTAAATAATCCCATCCGAGTCGCTAATCAAATAATTAGAACAAAATATTTCAAAAAGTAAAGCTATAAAATTTGCAGAGATTTTACTAGAATGTAAAAGACGGTAACTAAATACAGGAATGCGGGTAGTTATGTGTGCGAACGCTCAAACTCAATGCCAATTGTCGTAGGTATCCAGACCACTCGGACCAAAGACTACTCGGACTAAGACCAGTCGGACCAAAACAAGACCAGTCGGACCAATTAAATTATATTATAAGGCTAGACAATATGCTATTTATTTATTATTAAATCACAATACAAAGAAGCAAATAATTCTTATACGGAATTCTTATATTTAGAGTTGTTTGGTTCAATTTTGTGTACGGAAAATAAATCAACGATTAGTTTTAAAATTAATTAATAATGGTGCCAAACAAAAATATCAATCTAATTTTTCTTTACTCTTGCAATGAGACTCGGTATGTCCAGACTTTTGACAGTTTCTACATATACGGGTATACTGTTCTTGTCTGATAGCCTAATTTTACTTTTTCCACATTCGCGGTATCCCCAGTGGTTTCATTCCGTTCTACCCCACTAACCCCTGGGTTACTATATATGGGGGGGGGGGGGAGACACGTTTTCAAGTTATCCGCCCTTGATGCGTTAATATAAACAGCACATAATAATACGAAGACCGGACGGTTATATGCCCCTTTTTAAACGTGACTACAAGTGTGGTTCTCGATATTTTGCGATTTGGAATACAATTATCAATTTATTCAAACAACACGTTATTATTAGTTCGAGTAGTCATATTAAAACACACACAATTATCAATTTATTCAAATAACACTTTATTATTGGTTCGAGTAGTCATATTAAAATAAACACAATTATCAATTTATTAAAATAACACTTTATTATTGGTTCGAGTAATTATATTAAAACAAACGCAATTATCAATTTATTAAAACAACATTTTATTATTGGTCCGAGTCGTCTTTCTGTTGGGTCCGAATAGTCTTTTTGTATGGTCCGAGTAGTCTATTTGTTTGGGCTGAGTGGTCTATCAGTTGGTCCGACTGGTCTTGAACCGAGTGGTCTTTGGTCCGAGTGGTCATGGATTCTTGTCGTAATTGTACTTGAATTTCCTATGCTGTCACCCCTAATACGAAATGATATCTTCCGCAGAGTGACGTAACCATCTTCCATATTGGTATTTTTCTCTGGGAAAAGTTTGTGATATTTCAATTTTTCAAGAGAGAACTTGTTTTCATCGTTGTGATAATTAGTTGTGCAATGGATTTTATCGAACGGGAGTTCATTACAAACACACAGGTAAGTTTATAATAACCAACGTTAAGTAGTTTGTTCATAATCGAAGAAATCCGTTCAAAATTTACGATGAATCAGACAGTAAACAATTTTATAAACACTATTACCTGATTCCCTTTTCAAATACTCCATGTGTTGACGGATATGTTATCATCAAACAGGCTAATGTGTCTTTGTATTTCTCTATCTGAAATAAATAAGGATCTATTGTGTACTTAGCGTCCCCTTCTTAATTAGAAATAATCATAGAAAGTTTTTAATCTTTACCAGCGTCACTTCCACTCCCATAAAGATCAATCTTTAATGCTCACAATCGAAAGTCAATAAAATAAAGTAAATTCCCCCATAAGAAAATATCCTAAATTCTAACATCCAATTTGTACTTCAATGAAAATGCATAGAAGTCATTTGACTGTAGGTTTAATGTCATTAGTGACTAGGTCAAATAGTAATACTCCGAAAGCACACACTAATGTCTTGTGCACTGAATATAGAAATATCTGACGAACTGTAGTTAGTATCTAATGGACAGACAATTAGACAGAAATATGCAGCAATATATGTTTAAAAAGTGAAACAAATAATTACCATATTCTCAAGATGTTGCATATCGACTGCTCCATTTCTATCAACATTAATTGGTTGAATTTTCATTCCGGCCATTTGTGCACTAGCAGGATTAGTACCATGAGCTGAGACAGGAATCAGACACATCTAAATACAAATAACAAACACAGTATGCTTTATTAGATAGCTTGAACTTGCAAGATGAAAATTCTTTTAACACATAATTCTTTAATTTAAGAACATTTAAAAATATAAGCCCAAATTTCGTTATGCACCCCTGTCATTCGTTAATAATTGACTTGTGATCTCTCTCTAGAGAGAGAGAGAAAGAGGGAGAGATGGGGTTTAAGTCCACTCAACACAAACTAGGTCATTTCGGGACTAACATATGGGTAAATTTTATTTCAATAATTCGCTTGCGTGTAGGGCTCTTTAACAGTGGGAGGAAAAAACTTCTAAAAATAACTTTTGAACTCAGTTAGATAAGCCTCATATCTACTATTTATTTTCCAAATTGCTGTAATTTATTTTGTGTCAACTGTATATATAGTAAACATTTACATTTCTCTGTGTCTCGCCCTTGCTACTTAAATATGACATGATTGCTCTCAGTCCTGCATATTCTCCCTGGGCACCACTATCAAAAGAATAGAAAACAAATTATTATGAACTAATTAATATGGTAGCTAGAAAGTTTAAGTTAACAGAATAATAATACTAATTTCTTCTCTTCCTCCACTTAGATTCTGTCTCATAGGGTCAAACAACCTTCTTTGAAAATTCTGTTTTTTCTCTTTAATTGTCCCAGCTAGAAATGAAGTGAAATGAAATGGGATTTAACGTCCCACTGTTCTACTAATGAAGATGGACATACGTCATACAGTGTGCCATGAGAAAAATTTTGCCAGGACAATGGCATTACAGCCTATTCTTATATCGAATTCCAACTGTCAAGGGATCTTTTACGTGCAAGCCAATGTGCACATGGGACCTTGGTTTTTCGTTTCATCTGAACGACTAAACAGCTGTCCTTGTCAGGCCCTCCATCCTACACCACTGACAAGGGGAAACCATGCCGGAAAATCCTGATGAACTTTCTCAGCAAACACAGGGATCGAACCTGCAACCTCCAAGCTAGCGAGCCAGTGCCTTACTCACTTAGTCACCGTGGCTGACGTCCCAGCTAGAATACATTTGAAAACCCAAATTTCATAGAGACAAAGGGAAGCCAAATATGTAACAAACAGAGAACAGATAGCAAGTGCAAAATGGCATATGAATGATATCACCCAGGGGGATGGCATAAACCCTTTGGCTGTTGATTCGACTGAAAAGATGTGCAGTACCTGTTCGGTTGTAAAGAAAATTGATCATAACCAGTAATTTCACACAAGTCCTTCTCTAACTCGGTAAACATTTCCATATAACCTTTGACTTGATCTTTAGGTACAAAAGGATGAATATTGGCAAACTCGTTCCATGTACAAGGCTATAAATGAAAATAAAAATATATCAAAACAAATCAACTGTAACTGCCATACATTTTTCTCTTTTCTTGAAAAATAAACATTTAATAGATTTATCTAACTCCTGTACTTGGCATCAACAGAGAAATTGTTTTACTCATCCTTTTAAAACTTTGAATCATTCACATTGAATGTATAAAGAATTTTTCATATATCAACTCACTTGAAAGTTATGCACACCTATTATATTAGGAAGACTGTGCCAAACACAAGATTTGACCTGTATATTAAACTGGTATAATGATAAAATAAGTCTTACCATCATTTCTGTTGTACTGTTCAATTTCATGGTACAGGAACCAAGAGGAATCATAGAATGTACTAAAGATAAATCTTTATTTTCCAACTGTTTCATATATCTAACAATATTTGTCTCTGACTGATATCTGTAAATAAATATAAGTCCAAATTCCAACATGCTGTAAACTAGAAAATAATTATTATGAGATCAAGAAATTAATGTGTTAAATAACATATCACCAATCACATTAATTTCCATGCCAATTTCATGTTTTAAAGTAAAAATGTAATTACACTTATATTATAAATAAACATTAATGTCAAATAGCCACTCAAAATGTTGGTGTACATACTTCCACATCCTATATCAAAAGTAAACAGTGACAAATTTTGCATTAAGGAACATAGGTAGGATAATGAAAAAACAAACTATGCAAGATATTTTAATAAAAGCTATAAATCGGTTGTTTTGGTCAACTTTGGGGTTAAAGGGTTTGGTTCAAACTCCCACTTAGTACAAACCTGTGAAATACAGAATGATTTAAGTAGAGGCTTTTTCTTGCAAATGGTGTACTGTTCAAACTAGTATCAGGAGAAGCCAACAATACCTGGGATATTTCTTCCTGAAATTTATATATGTCCATTCAAATGTTTAGTCTACATACAAAAAAACCCCACCTTAAATCTTCATAAAGTTAGTTTAATTTACTTATGTAACATTCATTTATTGTCTGGCATTAACATGCAATATACATGAAAGCTAATTCATCTCATTTATTCTCTAATATCAAATTACATTTTATTATACATCAGAGCTGAAAAAAATATGATACAATTGAATATTCAGAATATTTGTTTAACTCACAGCTGTTTTAGGAGAACCAACAATCTCTAATAAATCCTTCAGATCAATTTCTTCTGTTGTTTCATCCAAAGATATTCCCATCTGAAATTAATTTTAAATTTATTACTGACAAAAGACCATTAACATTTTATTGATCATTTTTTTTTTAATTTGAAAAGTTCTAAAACAGTTATCAATCAAACTGCAATGTAAAATGGGGACATTCTATACACTCTAACAACCAGCATTTTGAATGGTGGCTTTCAAAACTTTTAGCATCAGGATCAATAACTACATATGAAATTAACATACAACTCTGACTTTCAATAGGGCTGCTCTCTATCTCAAAAACTTTTACCCATTGAATGCTGTAAGATTTTGGTGTTCAGGGCAACAAATTAGAGCTCATTATTAATGACACATGAGTTTTGATCAGTGTGCCTATGTATACTTAATTGATGTTCCTACCTTCTGTGACATCCAGGACCAACAATCAAGTGGACCTAATGCGTTAGATGGGTGAGATGTGCTAAGGGAGGTAACTCTTCCTAAAATATGACTTCTATGAATTAGAGAGAGAGAGAGAAATGGGGTTTAACGTCCACTCGACACAAACTAGGTCAATTTGGGACTAAAAATGGTTGAATTTTATTTCAATAATTCGCTTCCGCATAGGGGTCTTCAGCAGTGGGAGGAAACCGAAGGACATGGAGAAAACACACAAGGTTGGACAGATGACCCTATTCACGTACAAGCGGATAATTGAAACCACGCCACTTGACTCAATGACAGACCTCATGATGAAACACGCACACGCTCACCATTCCGCAACCCAACCACCCTCTATTAATTAAATTGAACTTATGAATTTTAAGTGAAGTGAATTAAGTGCAATGGATGCATTAATAAATTAGCATTACATTTACTTACATAGCCATTAGAAAACTGCCTCAAGTTAACTTTTTTAGAATCTGACCTGTTTATAATTTCATCTTTTCCATTTACTGGTAAAAATGTAATTGTATCAAAAAACATTTCATTTATCACAGTATGGCCAGCATTCCGCACACCTATACCAGAAAGAAAAAGAATGTTTGTTAAATGTGTTTGAGACAAAATAAAATCTTAATTCATCAAATATTTCAACATTCTTTTTTTTTTACATACAGTGCTTCAAAATGACGTTTTTTTACCTTCGGCTAGTATTCTGGTAGCATTGTGAATTCTGTCAGCTATGTGTCGTAATCCTTCAGGTCCATGATAACATGCAAACATGGCAGACATATTAGCAAGCAATGCCTACAATTAAAGCAAATATATTTGTTAGTGATGTCATATAAGATCATTGACATGATATTTGAGGTTTGACAACCCTTAACTTTACAATGTACTGTGTTGACTGTCCTTAAATGAAAAGATGCAGAAGGACATAGGAGTGGTTTGTGGTGGATAGGCAATTAGCAATGGAGAGAGTACACCACCTAGCTCCAGTCTACTGAAAGTACCATAGTTACTTTTCAAGGAAGAAAATTATCTATAACTGTTTTGTTAAAATGTCTTTTAATATCAAAATGCCCTATTGATTAGAACAATCTAGTATGCTAAAAGATAGGTTGCCAGGCAACGAAACATACGCCCACAGCAACTAAATCGTCCGGGCAGTCAACAAGGGTTGTCGCAAATTTTACTTTTTTCAGTAATGAAACATTTATAATACACTAAAATCTGATTAAGAGCAACAACTCACGAAGTAATTATCAGAAAACTATTAGAATTTGTTTGGTTTTTATAAAGTTCTGCCCCATGCTAACGTTTTGTATGCAAAGCTTTTAATATCATAGATTTAACTGTTCAAGTCATAAAAATTCATTGAAAATCAATATACTTGTTCGTCTCAAGATCTTAAACTCTGTGTATCAATCTGAAGTCAATCGGATGATAACTTAAGGGCCATAACTTTGGCAGTAATTATCGGAAATCGTTGAAAATCAATAGGAATCTTCGTCTTATGACCTCAAACACTGTGTATAAATTTAAACTCAATCGGATAATAACTTGAGCCTCAAGAGCATCCACAAGATTTTTTGAAGTGATCAAGGGCCATAACTCTGGCAGTAATTATCGGAAATCGCTGAAAATCAATAGGCTTCCTCGTCTCATGACCATAAACACTGTGTATAAATTGAAAGTCATTCGGATATTAACTTTGGCCTCTAGAGCGTCCACAAGCAATTGTGGACTCCGGACCGCCGGATATAAATAAAAATAAAATAAATCGCTATAGTATATAATTTGAAATACAGTATATGATTTATATATTGAAGTTGAACTGTTATCTGTTGATATAATTATGCCATTTCATTTTGTAAAGCCAACTTTTGAACGTATATGTGACCACCCCCCACCCCCACCACTTCACACTAACATCAGCTTTTAAAGGATAGTAGCAAAATCTTAAAATTCAATTTCTTTGGGGTTTTTCTTATCCAAAAGATAAAATTCACAACTTCAAAGTATGTAAATGAGACATTATATGTGTCATATGGTGCTAACCAAGAGGTCAGTAACCTACATTAATAATTATGAAAGATAAGGTTAAATTAAAGTATGGTCACTTGAGCTGTACATATGTTACTTGTTGCTTTTTCTCTACGAATATGTTGTTCTCTTGTCTGTAACTATACCATGTCACAACCAAACCCCACTTCAGATTTTAAAGGATAGTAACAAAATCTTAGAATTCAATTTCTTTGGGGTTTTTCTCATCCTAGAGATCAAATTCACAACTTCAAAGTATGTAAATGAGACATATGTGTCTTATATTGCACATTAAGAGGTCGGTAACCTACATTAATAATTATGAAAGATAAGGTTAAATTAAAGTATGGTCACCTGAGCTGTACAAATATTACTTGTTGCTTTATCTCTACGAATATGTTGTTCTCTTGTCTGTAATGCTAATCTTAAAGCTTCGTTACCATTGGCATCCCTATAATATGAATTTCAAAATTGGTTAATATAGATTTATTTGCTATTGTTTAAAATTCTGATTCAGCAATAGTTTTTCAGAATTTGAGAATAAAATAAGAGTAATCCTATGGAGATTTATAATAGTAGATTATGATTAAATTCATAATAAATAAACCATATTATTACTAGCTCGATGTGCACTGACAAAGCTTAAATTTTCAGCTAAATATTATCTATTTATCTGAAAAAATTTGTAAATGAATTATTTTGATGAATAAATTTTGAGATACATGTATTTCTTTTGTTTTGTGTTTTTGCTTGAATTTGATTCTGCTGATATGCATTAACTTCTACATGATGTGACATGAGTTTGGTTCATCGGTTGATGTATGGCAACAGGTTCTATGTTTAGTTCTTATTAAATAATGAATAATCAGAAGAAAAATGTCAAAGTTCTCACTTTGTTACACCTATCATACGACCAGGCATCAATCTTAGAAATTTATTTTTACAAGCAAAAAATGCAGCATGAGGTCCACCATAGCCTAAAGGTATACCAAATCTTTGTGTGGTACCAAGTGCTATATCAAATCCAATTTCTCCTGGGGGCTTCATAATGGCTAATGCAAGTGGATCAGTTGCTGCTACAACCAAAGTCTTTTGAAATTATAAAAAGAAAGAAATATATAACAGAATTCCATCACAAAAATAACAAGCCACTGTAAAGATGATGTCCCCTGCCGACATCCCAAAATAAATAGATGACACATGCCGTACTAATTATTTGCACATTTATCTTTTTGAAAAGTATCGAACAATCAAACTGATTATCATATCTTATTCTTAGTTTAAGCAGAAAATGTTAACAATCAAACTCAGTCATGGTTTTTAAGTACCTGGTAGGTTATCTTGTCCCAAAGCATCGACCAATGAAATTGATTAGCACAGCTTAGTTTTAGCGGATAATGTTAATCTTGAACTCAGTCAAGACATTTATTTAATGAACATCTACACAAAGTTTCACCACTCTCACTCAATTAGAATCAAAGTTATCGAGCTCCAAAGTTCCGACCATTCAAATTGATTATTGCTCTGATTACCCTGAGCAGAAAATGCCCATTATCAAACATATTTATGGTATTAATGTAATGAAACTATACACCAAGTTTGATCACTCTCACTTAATTAGAACTAAAGTTATCGTGCCCCAAAGCATCAACCAATCAAATTGCTCATCTCTGCTTACCCGTAGCAGAAAATGCTCATCTTCGAACTCCATCAAGGCACTGACCTAATAAACACCTACACCAAGTTTGAACATTCTAGCTCAATTAGAAGGTGGGTTATTGTGTCCCAAAAAGTGTGACAAACAGACAGACAGACCCATTTTAATAGTCCCCTGCTTTCTTCGAAAGGTGGGGGGGCTACAAAATGTATTTAACTGAATACAGTGGGGTATCTATTTGTTTTTGTAAATATAGTATTTAAAGTGTAAATTTCATAGGGCTATGTTTTGGTCCTAACTTTTAGAATCTTTGATCATCTTGATCAGCATGTCTGTGATACAGAAAATTGTGACTTCTTATCATATATTCTTACTATATGGTACATAAATAAAATGTTATCTTAATAGCTTATTCACAGTTTCACATGACTTTGCAATAAGTTTGTGTCTAAAAGATTAGAAAAGCTCCACCACAATTCCATTATATCAAAGATTAGATAAGAAATGAAATGTAATGGGGTTTAATGTCCTTCTGTTCAGGATTAGATAAGAAAATAAATGAACTATTTCAGGAATAATTACAAAGCAATATTGTATTAAAAACTACAAACCCCATGTGTATGAGCTGATTCTATTAATAAAGAATAATCTAAGATATTTCCTTCTGTATTTGGGTATTGCAGTAAAACTCCACAAAAATCATGTGTGTCGAACTCCATTTGCTTCCAATCACAAATTACCACCTCAATACCAAGGGCACTGTATCAAAACAAGAACAGCCATTGTTTAAGTATCAATTTCTGTAAATTTATTATCGATATGCATATTCTACTCATCTCTATCATAAATATGATCAAAACTATAGATAATTTAAATTTTGAGAAAGCAGCATGATACTGACATTGGTTCTTGTCAGTGATTACTAGGACTGGTAAGTGCTGGTCATTGGTCTCTCTTGTGCCATCAAGAACAATCTTAAATATATGTTTACTACTTTCTATCGATACAGATGGATATTGAATGATTTACTTACTCTGCTCTAGTTTTTACTACAGCTATGTTTTGTGGATGACAATTACTGTCCACATAAAATCTTCTTCTTTTACTGTGTCTGTAATAAAAAACGATGCTTTCATCTTAAAACAAATCTTTTTGAATACAGACACCAAAAAAACTTGGAAACTAGACATATTCATATTGAAGTTGAAAAATTTCCTCTTTATATAATCAGGGTTCTTAAAAAATATTTGAAACAAACTTGCCAGAATTTGGTCCCTTGAAGTCAAGAAATAGCTACAATAAGCTTTCATTCTCTTGACAGGCTTCAAAAAGAATAATTTGTTGTGTAGGATATTATCCTCTGATTAATGATTACCTCCATATAATAGGCTTTGTATATTCAGGTACCGTGCAATTTTTACGCCAAAATTAAACTTTTAACTACGTCTTTTGTAGTATGCAATTCCTTAAATGGTGCTGGGGTATTATATAGTAATAGGGCTCAAATTATTTGAAAGTTTTTATTGTCTGTGTCCAGATCGTGATTAGTGTTCATGCAAAGTCATAGGTGAATGTCACATTAGCCATTCAATTTTACAGAGGATATTTTCCACAATTTGCATATTTGTATGAATGTCTGAATTGGTGGTTAACTACCTGAAACACAAACCCATTGCTTCAGCTGCTGCAGTAGCTTCATCTAATAGAGAAGCATTAGAAATATCTAAACCGGTTAAGTCGCACATCATGGTCTGATAGTTTAGCAAGCTCTCCAATCTTCCCTGTGCTAATTCTGCCTGATAAGGTGTATATTGGGTTACCCTGAAAAATAAACAACAGAAAGTGTGGAGTGTTTCAAAATTATAACTGATCTACATCATAATCTTGGCAATATGATGTAAATATCAAATAATTAATAAACCTATCCTTGCAATACATACTACAGGTACATGCCACTTAATAGTACTAGAAATAGAACCATTATTTTTGTCTTCCAAATATGGAGTTAGGTTTTTGGTTGCTGTCACGGCTGACTTTTACCACCAGTGGTTTGAGACTATATAAAAACTCACTTAACCAGCTCACTCCTTCTATTTAACTCATTGGAAAATTATATAAAACCCAGTTTCGGTAACGGTCTAAAGCTTTCGTGAATCACAAGAACTTCATGATCTGATCTGCGTCATCTACTGAATGAACAGGAAAGCCTTCATGGACTACCCAATCAAGTGGTTTAATTCATCCACTGTTAATGATAAAACACTTTGCAGTTTTTAAAAGCAGTTATATATATGATAGGGAATCCACATGTACAAGCAGTTACTTGTATGCTATGAACTCTACACGTAATATTAGATAAAAACAGTTACATGTATGATAGGAACTCTTCATGTACTCTCAGATAAGAGCCATTATATGTATGCTACATGTCTGAACTCTACATGTACTGGTATTCTCAGATAAAAACAGTTACATGTATGATTGGAACTTTCAGATAAAAGCAGTTACATGTATGCTACTATCTGAACCATCGTAAATTGTAAACGGATTTCTTCGTTATTAAAAACTTGCCTATGTGTTTGAAATCACCTCCCATTAAATAAAATCCATTGTACAATTAAATATCGCAACGAAAAAAAACATTCCCTCTTGAAAAGTCAATGTTTTTGTTTGTATTTTCGAATGAGTTCATCACAACATTGCACATGTCACGTGATGAGCTAAACCATCGTAATAATGTTGACAGGGGGTAAATGTTGACAAATTTTGACAATCACGTGTGTTGCAATCAAAACAGTGCACGACCTTTTCGATCGTTTGAGTTTAGGCAACAAAAATAGCACTTGAAAACAATAACATTAATTCGCAAACAATTGATTGTCAGTCTACTAAATTTTATTCACAATGAATATATCACCGTTTACACAAATACTCGTAAATATAATATTGCTTTTTACATCATCATCACCCCATAATTGTAAACACCCTGTATATTATATATATTTTTATAAATTATATTACATCCCCGTCAATTATTGGGGGTGGGGGGATGGCCGAATGTTTAGTGCGTGCGTGCTGTATCATAAGGTCTGTCATTCTTCAGACCATTTAACTGCATCTGTGTAGTATACAATAACTCATACGGCATGGTACCTTTTACGGTAATAGAATTCAGAGCGTTGATTGGCTGAGGCATGATCACGATCTACGAAATGCCATCAGAAAATTCCATTCTCAATGGATTTCAAAATGGAGTTGTACTTGTGATTAATATATTGTTAATAACTGAGAGTACAATCGTATGGATACATTGCCCTGTGAATTTCAAAACGAAGCCGGGAATTTCAGAAATTAATTGTGTTACCGAGATGCACGATTATAAAATTCTGAACAGTTTTTGTACAACGGAAATAATATATGAAGAGAAATAGAATGACATGGAACTATCTGTCGATAATTCAACCGACGGGCGGTATGTTTTGTTGATAATCATTTATGGTATTTATAAAAAAAATAACGTTATATACCTATTCAATGCCGGTATCTCAGTCAATTTTCAAGCTACAGACCACAAATTTGCACAGTTTTTAGTTTTTACATGTACAAAAACATATATTTTTTGCAGACTTTTTTGAGGGGGTCGATTTCCCAAATTTCTGAAAATTGACCCACTTGACATGGAATGACCCAAGAGAGAACTTTTCTATTTGCTGGGATATTTATTTGTACAATGGATTTTTTTAATGGGAGGTAATTTCAAACACACAGGTAAGTTTACAATAACCAAAGTTAACTAGTTAGTTGATAATCGAAGAAATCTGTTCAAAATTTACAAGGGTTCAGACAGTAGGAACTCTTCATGCACTCTCAGATATTTAAGCAGTTACATGTACGATTGAAAACCTACATCTACTCTCAGGCAAAAACAGTTACATATCCAGTATCATATGATCTCAACATGACCTGTAGAGGTCACACAAACAAAATGTGAACGGACACACAGAAGGGCGATGACATAATACGTCCACATGAAAATGTGAGGGTATAAGCATGTAAAAATTGTTAATATCATCAAAAGTCTTACCATCCAGGGTTCTCGAATATGTTTCTCATAATGGTATGTGGTACATATGTATTGTGGTATCCCATACCAATATAACTTCTCCATATTTGGTTCTTGTTGGATAGCTGTTTCAAGTATTGTATAAGCTGATGCTCACCTAATATAAATGATAATATAACACAGTGTTCAGACATACAAACATACAATTTTTTGTTTTACTGTGTTATTGAGCAACAAGAATACACTAAATACCAGGAGCTTTGTGAAAGGCCAGGGGTAAGGTTCTCATAGTGTGATGTATGTAAGTAATGTAATAATTAAAGCGGTATTATGGAAGATTAGATAAAGAGCTGACAGTTCTAGCTATAATAGTTAAAAAAAAAGATAATGTAAAGTTGAATTTCAGTCAAATTACTTCACTCTGAGCCCAGAAATTTTCATTTCAATAATACTGTAGCCTCGATCATTGTCATTATTACGGTTGTTAGGATAATAAACAAAGTCTCGATTATCTATTTTTACGGTTAATCACTAACTGCCGCTGGACCCCAGATCGGATTCAAATCTTTTTAAAATCGGACCCATCAGATGGCATCAAGAGTTGATTATGGTCTTGTCAAGTTTATAAATGTCTAATTAATAGTTTATATAACATTTAAGGCCTTAAGAAAGAACTGCGATAGGCAGATTTAACTCTTGCATAATGCATGTTTAAAGTAACAGCCATGAAATATGATGTGCACATTTTAAAGTGACGCTAGAAAGCCTTAAACATTTTCATGAATGCCCTAGAATTTGTGAATAACATGCATAAAGAAATTGTAAAGATAGGTTGCCAGGCAACGAAAGATAAGCCCACAGCAGCTAAATCGTTCGGGCAGTCAACATGAGTTGTATCTTATTTTTACTTTTTTCGGTAATCAAACATTTATAATACACTAAAATAATTAAGTAATTATGAGAAAATTATTAGAATTTGTTTGGTTTTTATAAAGTTCTGTCCCATGGTAACGTTTAGTATACGATACATTCAATATCATGGCCACCTTTTCTCAAAAACCCTAAAGAAGACAGAGATTTTTTATATTCCAGGTCAATGGCCAGCTCAGTCAACCATGCTATGGTTTAGAATCATAATCAACATTTACATAATAAAACAAGATAACAAAGAGCATACTTGATAAAATATATAAATATGGCCAACAAACAAATAAAGTCATTTTATGGAATTGTTATTCTACATTCCAACGAAAGTATTTATAGGATAATTATTTCTAATAAAGTAGACCTATAGCAAATTTGGTATATCTGGAAAGTTGGGAAACCCAATCTTACTCGAAAAATACTGGATTCCCTGAAAAACACCCATGCCTCAGAAGACAAAAATCTAAAGTGATCATTGTCTGTTTGAATGACATATGGAATGCTTGGTTTTATTGATCGAATGGCTAGAGGTTGTGAAAACAGAGAGAGACTTAACATAATGTAGATTTTGTTGGAAAAAGAAGTTGGCAGATGATAATTCAAGAATTTACATGGGTTTCAATATTTATGGTAAATCGTCAGTCAGCAACAACAAATTCAATCTGATTAAAACACACCCCAGCTATATATAGGTAATTAAGGAATAAATGTTTCTAATATGCATTTTGGCACTGTGACGTCATTGGAGTGAGGTGATTAAAAGTGTTATTGATAATTGGCAATGTCGTTTTTACGGAAGGTCTATATTTGCAACTTGAGTGAAGATAGCTGAATTAATTTCAATCACATTGGTGTGAACTTGCCATAAAGTGCATATAGTAAACACTGGCTATAAGTACATACAAAGACCTGCAATAAGCAGACTTAGCTCTTGCATAATACATAGTTTAACAATGTTTGGTTGGTTTATACAAGTTAATTCAATTAATAATATTAATATGGTTTTAGTCCCTAAATGAGCCAAAAGACCTCAAATCAACTTACAAGCAAAGAAGGTTGAACTTGATATTGGATTGTTTGTGACTTATATCGGAACCACAAATCTAATGCATTCAATAAACTTTCAAGGGTTATATTTTATCACTAACAATTTTCTTTATAAGGTATGCTGTATTTGGGCAGTGGCATCAAAATGATCTGTGACTCCCCAAATCTTAATATGTTTTTTTTGTTGTAAAGAAATTCAGATACTTTTTAGGATTTGTTTCACATTTTATTTCAGTTTTCTCATCGCTTGTAGAAATTAAGATACTGATACCAGTGTTTTGATGGGCAACATTGAATTGGGGGGGGGGGGGGTGCTAACCCCCATGATTAGCTGAGCACACCTTGGTTTAAACAAAAGAATCTCAAGAAGTTCCCTTTGATAAGAACAATCTCAGTCAAATTTAGGCCTATAAAATTTTAGTGACTGTGGCAGGCAATAAAGCCATTTAGAAATGATGCTTCGAGGGTTTCTCCTTGACAATAGTTGAATGATCCCAGTACCGTATTTTTCGGTGTATTAGGCGCATGCGTAGATAAGGCGCAGGGCGAGTTTGGCAGAGGTGTTTCAGGAAAAAATAAAAATGCATGGTTTAGGCACACCCTTCTCCAGCGCCTTGTGAAACAGGTGCCATACCATAGTTACCATACGTGATTCAAATACACCTGCGATCTCCAGTAACTGGGCCAAACTTTACTGTTTACAGTTATAATAATTACCGATATTTAGCTGTATCAAGCTTTATATATATTTCTTTATGAAATTAACCTCTATATACATTTTTTGAATTGCATAAGACTTTATATTAATTACAACTTTCAATTGAATTGTTTCATAACTTAAGTGGTAATTCTGGCGCTTGTACGGTAGTCAAATTGTCGTTAGAGTCCCGCCCACAACACAAATGGCTGTCTATTACATCCTGTTAAATTCACGAGCAATTGGCTGTGATAAATGAATAGGTATTGATGATAAACAAATGAAATAAAAACTGTAGAAATAATTTATCATGATCAGTTACTCACGGCTTAAATCCTGACTACCGGTAAAAAGAGAAACAATAATTCTAGTTTATTTTATACTATCCAAACAACTGACAATCAAACGATTGTGTCAATTGTCTCGCCCACTACACGCAGCATGACAATACCTAGATTGAGGCCATTTATATCTATCAGTATCATAAGACAATAGCATTTTTAATACCAATCAAAGAAACAATGATTTTGTGAACAACAAACAACTTCATAAACCATACGATGACAACTCACCGGTAGATAATTAACGATACCGGTAAATTATAACAATAGGTTAATCAGTGAATCTTCGTTGCATGAAAACTATCGGTAACTTGAAACGGCTAAATATATAAGTTACAGCAATGTATAGTAAATAAATTTATTCAGAATGACTACGAGACGAACCGCTAAAGAGTGCGGTAATAGATAAAGCAAATAGATAGAGCGCCGCATGTTATCCACACATTGAGAAAGAATGGGTTAACCGTCAATCATAGACGCCGTGAAGATTTGCTGTTTCGAGAACCGGTTAGACAGAACAACTTCGTTGTCGTCGTTTCTGGAGTTTGCCGCCCACTTCCACCAGGGGTGATATCGTAGACAAAAGAACAACTTCAATATATGTCAGTTTAACTCTAATCCCACCCTTACTACCAATGACTTATATTGAGCCAATGAAAATGCTTGTATGAATGCATATCCCGCCCTATTCGTCAACTTGACATGCGTATCCTATTTTTTAAAACATCGTTAACGTTGAACGGCTATCAGCCGATGGTGTTTGCATTGCCGGTTATGACAAACACTATACTGTACACGGGATAGCCTAAAATGTTGACATCTTTTTTAACTTTTATGCACGAAATAACAGAAATACGGGCGATAATTATTGACGAATTTTAAACTATCTAAAATATTACTGACAAATATAAATGGACACGAAAGGAAACAGTATTGTGTTTAATTTGTGTGGTAATTTATCATAAACTTTTGAGGTAGCGTCACCCGGTCGACATGTGTTAATTATAGGGCAGTTATTTGTTGAACTCCCGACTTCGGTGTATACACGGGAAAAGCCTGGATTCGCTTAACATTATGTATTAGGCCCACCCCTTCTAGAAAATAAAATATTTGGTTATAAAAGTGCGCCTAATACACCGAAAAATACGGTAAGTTTTTAAAAAAAGTCTCAAACATTCTGACCTGTAGGACATTTACAATATTTGTAAATGGACAGACAGGGGTTGATGACAATATACTTTAATATTAATTATTAAAGTTATGAATTCACTTTTTTGTTACCGAAAAAAACCAGACACACTTGTAAGGATAAAATGATAGAATTAATAAGTGGCTGGCTCAATCTAATTAAAATATAGATCTATATTTCGTTTCGTTTTTTATACTTTCGATGGCCTACACTACATGTAGATCTAACAAGTTATAGTGGGAGTTCACGTTCTATGACGTCAGGTACCAAGCAAGCGACATTTGACCCGATTATGTCAGTCATTCAATTAACCATTTAGCGACCGCCATGTATTTTTTATCTACTTTTGCTTTGTTTTGATTTCTATTGCCGCTAATGTCTACCCACAAATCCGCGCAAAAAAGGTCAAACGCTCAATTCGACAGACCATTTGATTGGCTGACCCCTCATTTCCAGCAGAACACGAGTTAAATAACAACACTTCCAGATCCAAGTGTAGTAAAGACAAGTAAAATCGAAATTTTGAACTATACTATTCAAAAAAAGTAGGGGATATTTGATTTTGGGGGCATAATACTAAAATATGCAAATGACTACGAAAAAAGTCACTATAGAACCTAACAGAAGAAACATTTCCAGTTACATGTGACGCCCAAACGCACCAATAGCTACCGCATGGAATGCAGGTGATGCTTGGGATCATCATGGGGGTCCAACCCAAGATTTGCACGACTCTGACTTTGAATGTTACAGTCATTGTGGCATTGAATTCCAGGGTGGAAACATCAGTTTAATTGTTTTAGTGACCAGAAAACAAATTTTGATATGCGTCGGCTTACCCAAAATGAAAGGTTACGTGCCCTTGGCATGCTACAGATCGGCACAACACAGGCGGTTGTGGCGCGGACGATGAATGTTTCTCAGTCTGTCATAAGCAGGCTATGGTCCAGATACCGTGATACACAATCTGTACAGGACAGACCACGCTCAGGTCGACCAAGGGCGACAACTCAAGCCCAGGATCGATTTATCCGTAACTTGGCCTTGAGAAATCGTGTCATCACAGCAAATCAGATCAGCGCTCGTCTTCAAACAGACACTGGTGTGAGAGTGAGTGGCCAGACGATTCGGAATCGACTGCATAGAGGTCACCTTCGCGCCCGACGTCCTCGCATGATCCCTTGTTTGAGAGATCATCACATTCAGGCAAGACGTCGTTGGTGTAGGGATCGTCAACACTGGGATAATCGACGCTGGAGCAATGTGATGTTTTCAGATGAGTCAAGGTTCACTGTTGATTTTTTGGACAGACGTAGGAGGGTGTGGCGTCGTCGAAACGAGCGCTTCCAAGACGTTAACGTCACCAGACATGATCGATTTGGGGGTGGTTCTGTTATGGTGTGGGGAGGCATCACTATTGCTGGAAGAACGGCTTTACATGTTGTTGCAGGGCGTGTTACAGGCCAGTACTACCGGGACCACATCTTGGCAGTCCATGTTGTGCCGTTCGCACGACGTCATGGCCGCCGTTTCATCTTCCAGAATGACAACGCAAGATGTCACAGGGCCAGGATCGTTACAGGTTACCTCCAACAACAGAACATCACCACATTACCTTGGCCAGCACTGAGTCCCGACCTCTCCCCCATCGAGCATGTCTGGGACATGCTTGGACAGAGGTTACGTCAACGTCAACAACGTCCTGCCAATGTCCAAGAACTTGCTGCTGCGTTGCAACAGGAATGGGACAATCTGGACCAAAATGACCTTAGACGTCTCATTAGGAGTATGCCACGTCGGATCAATGCTTGTTTGGCAAACAGAGGAGGATTTACCCGTTGCTGACTTGGTTGTGATGCTGTGGTAACTTTGCTGTTTGACCCCGGGTATCATTTTACCCTTATAATGGTCAGTCTGTGCCTTACTTAGTCTAACGATCATTTGGAATAAATCGATGAATGTGAACTTCATTTCATTTTGTCATTTGTTTCTTTGTCAGTTTCATTAGGTGACTTTAATAACACTTAAAAATCAAATATCCCCTACTTTTTTTGAATAGTATATCATTTCAAAACACATCCTTATCTACCAAAATCTACTCAACTCTACCGAAATGGTCAGTCTGTGCCTTACTTAGTCTAAAGATCATTTGGAATAAATCGATGAATGTGAACTTCATTTCATTTTGTCATTTGTTTCTTCGTCAGTTTCATTAGGTGACTTTAATAACACTTAAAAATCAAATATCCCCTACTTTTTTTGAATAGTATATAAAAATGAAACGAAATTGGATCTGTGTTTTAATCAGATTGGTGGCTGGCTACTTCTCTAATCTAGTTCATGAACATTATTAACTAACTTACCTAGAGGTTCTTCAATATCAAGATTCCTATCCAAAAGAATATCAGCTGGTACTGCTTTATTGACTAACTCAGTAATATCCTGAAAGAATTAAACAATGATAAATTTGTGCTGTTGTCAAACTTAATCCTATACTAAACATTTATCCAGGCAAAGTTGTTTTGCATAAAGTTTTGTGTTTGTATCAAATCCTTGGTATGTCACAAGAGCTTACGGATTACTTGACATGCCCAGTATATGAATGTATGTGTGTGCCAAAAACATGATACAAACAAAACAAGTGGAGCATATATCATACAAGTATATTATCATTACATATACCTGAATACCTTTTAGCCAACACAACTTAAGAAATAAATTATGTCAACCATGATTTATTTATAAGCTTTCTTTAGAGATAACCTATATAATCATATGCTCATTCCCTTGAAACATGAACCAAAGTGGTCATACATAATTCTAAACTATGTTATTCAATTGAAAAAAAAAAGAAGTTTCCTGTGGTATTAAAATTGTATACTCTTCAAAAAAAGTAGGGGATATTCAGAAACAATACAAAACTGCAGAAATGAACTGCTGTTTTTATTAGAGGTAACCAGTGTATGTTAATAACAGGCCAACTGCCCACACATGAACATAAACAGTTCATATGGGCATCTTATCTGACGGCCCCATTTCACTCGCAAAGAAATACACTGTCAAAAATGAAAATGGACGTTTTTGATTTTTGTCTTAATAATGAGTAATTGCTCCACCAATCCTCAGACATTCAGCAATTCGTCGTGGCATGCTCCTAATCAACCGTCCAAACACAATTTCGTGCAATTTGACCCACTCCTCTTGCAGTGTTGTCCGTTGACATTGACGAACACGTATCCCAATCAAATTAAACGTAACACACTAAAGCAAAGATATACTAAACAGTAAATCTTATGCAAGAACCGATAGGAAAGCAAACATGGATAGATAAACCAGCACGTGGCAGTTTTCATCAACCCTTCCTTGAAGTGTCAAATTTGACAATGAACCCCTCCCATGTGTATGGCGCTATTGCGTGTCGCATGTGCTGCTCAGTGGTTCTGTTGGGGCGATAAGTTCTTCATCTGTGAACATACTCTTAAAACATGTCAAGTGTCCATGACTATTTATCATAATCACAACCTGCATTTTGCATTTCAATATCCCCTACTTTTTTTTAGGAGTATACTTCAACAAATAACTAAAGGAAACTATACATATGTATTTGGTTACAAAACAACTTGAATATATAATATATTTAACATGAGTTCAAATATCAATTTATTAACATATGACACAATTATATGAAATACAAGTTAGGCCTACTTGAATAACTAAACGTCTTTATCAATATATTATTACATATTTGTCATGACATAGGTTAATGTTGGTTTTATCTCCTAAAACAACCACATTTTGTATTTCCAGATATAACAAAGTCAAAAAAGTTAATTGAAAGAAATCCTTTCAAGGCCATTAATATTCTATACACCTCATTTACTTGAAATTCAGTATCCATGGATAATGTTTTAGAACAAAGCCTATTGAATTTCAAGATTAAGGACATCATCATATTTAAATAATATACTTAAATAAGTCTTATACTTATTGATTGCCGAAGCCTTGTTTTTTTGGAAATATAAGTAACTAGCAGAATACCCGGCTTCGCTCGGGGGTCATAACTCCGAAACCGGAAGTGGTAGACTAACGCCACCTGGCCTATGTGAAACCGGAAGTGGTAGACTAACGCCACCTGACCTATGTTACTCCCCGGTCTGAGCTACCCCTATACCCCAAATTTCAGACTCGGGGCAGACCTAGTGTAGCCACCAACCCCGAACAGACCGGCTTCGCTCGGGGGTCATAACTTCGAAACCGGAAGTGGTAGACTAACGCTACCTGGCCTATGTTACTCCCCGGTCCGAGCTAACCCTATACCCCAAATTTCAGACCCGGGGCAGACCTAGTGTAGCCGCCAACCTTGAACAGACAGACAGACAGACAAACAGACAGACAAACGACAGTCACAAGTATTAGTATAGAAGATTGTGGATTAATTTCTCAGAGAAATCTATAAAATATGAAGTTTAGTGAGGAAAAAAAGCATAAATACTTTGAATTGTTGGCTTGATAACTAATGAAATGAAATGGGGTTTAATGTCCTAGACTGGGCTAATGAAGTCGGGCATAAACCATACGGTATGCTATGAGGGAAATTTTGCCCGGACAGCGGCAGTACAGCCTACTCTTATATTGGGTTCAAACTGCCATGATCTCTTTTTTTATGTCCCATCCAATCAACAATAAGTTGTCTCTTGCCAGGTCCTCTGTCCTGCACTACTGAGGCGGGGGAACCGCGTCAGAAAATCCTGGTGAACTTTCTCTGCCAACGCAGGCATCGAACATGGGACGTCCAGGTTAGCGAGCGCAAGTCTTAGTCACTGAGCCATCATCATAGCTATGGTAAAACAAAAGATACATGTGCAGCATGTTAGAATCTAATATTGGTTTCCTTTTATTATTTGTTTTATTATCTGTTCTGTTCATTTTTTCTGTTTCTTTATTTGTTCTACTGTCTGTTCGACTATATATATTTCTGTTGTTTTATTATCTGTTCTAAAATCTGTTCTAAAATATTTGTTCCAAAATCTGGTCTATTATTTGTATCATATGTTCTATTATTTCTTCTATTATTTGTATTATAATCTGTTCTTTTGTTTCTCCTGTTTTATTATTTGCTTTATTATCTGTTCTATTATTCCTTCTGTTTTATTATTGGCTTTATCATCTGTTCCATACATTTTTTCTGTTTTATCATATGTCCTATCTCTTCTATTTTATCATTTGTAAAGTACATTTGTAATTAACATCCCGTCAACAACTCATATTTTGCTCTATTGGTGACACTTTCAATGCTTTTTAAAGAACCAAATATTTCTCAATGTAGTAAGTAAAGCTGAAATATAAAGTTAAGAACACATAGGCACATTTGGCACCCCTGACAAAAATTTTGCAGGGGCATCTTCCCTCCCACCCAACACATTACTACCAGTGGCATATTCAGAAGCATGGGTGCCCTGAAATGCTTAATTGTGGATCCCAACTCCCTGTCCAGCCCCCCACCTTTCCTCCTCTGTGAAGGTTAAGCTTCTATTGAAATTTTACTGCGTATATATAAAATCTATTGATTTATTTATTGATTTGCCACAATGTAGATTAAACAGAAAAGCACAGTCTTAAATCATTGCATGCCCAATTGTTAGCAATGTTTTTCAAATTGTTGTCCAATAAACTGAAATCAATTTAGTTTTTTGATTTAAATAATAGTTAAAATCTTTTGTGTATCTAAATTTCTAAGCAGCCCCTAAACCTTGGGGGCCCATGAATATGTGCACAATGAGTGCCACTGATCACCATCTCTCCGAAACCTGTAATAAATAGTTATCTGAAATCGCATAATCTTAATAAGTTGGTCATAATGACTAAATTATAAAGGAACTAAATCGCTATTCTTTGGCACCTAGAACTGGACACAAATGGGTCGCAAGACTCGCAACGCATATTATAATGTAATATGAATGTATATGAACTGATTTACATTCAATCGTTTCCATTTTTACTGTAATTTCTAAACAGTTATGTTTGGTGAAATACACAAAGAGTCCAAATTGAATGTCAGTCTTTGGCGTTTGGTTATTCCAGTCTACACCGGTAGTATTCTATGGGGTATGCTTAGTCTCGCTCATCGAGTTGTTATATTACAAATGGCGCTCGAAACCATTCTGGCACACGATTCATGTGCCAAGTTTAAAATTTTCATTTTGTTTTACATATTGGATATCAGAAGCCCCTCTTTTTACAGCAAGATAACCACTTCAATAAGTCGTGTTTGCAATGTCGAAGACTGGATGATATTGCCTCCTTTAATGTGTAGTTTAAGGTGTGTCCCCGATGGAATCCATGTCATGTGAATATTGTCGAAAGGATCTGTATGCTGCCTCTAAGATTAGAATAAAATCTAATCTTATCTTACCTTATCTAGATAAGTATATTCTTTATGTCACATGGAGTTGGCAAAATGACAAAAACATGGACAGGACTTACTTAATGATATATTTATTTAATTTCAGTTTAAATAAGCTCCTGGAAATAGAATTTTCACATGAAAGTTGTCTAATTTTTCACTGATTAATCCAGACAGACTAAAACGTAAGCCTACTCAAATTTATAATTTAACATTTCATTATCAACAATAAATCGAATATAATCAATGATTTTCGGGCATGGACTAAATAGGATTAAAAAGAGGCCTATCAAAAATATTTTGGACTAATTTCAGTACTTATTCTATGACCTATCACACAGTCTATTTAAATTTATTGGTTGAAAGGTTAGGATATCTTATTTATTTGGGGCATTCAGAATATGTTGGGTTTTTTTAAGTTTATAAGAAATATATTTTAAATGATGGCAGCAAGCCCAGGTTAAGTGCTCAATTATAATCTAAAATTGCATGTGGGTTGAGTGGTTAAACAAAACAACTGGTAAAAACTAGTTTAATATAATGTCCAATAATGGTATAATATTATAGAATATTATAGATCTACCTACCTTCAATCCAAGAAATTCCAGCATCGACTTCTTCTCGAGTTGACTTGGACCAATATGTCGCTCTTGGAAAGTGTCATGCTTAGAAAAAATTGTTTGTAACGCATTATGATTCGAAGACAAAAAACGGGGTTTAGGCAAATTAATTGGCTGACAAATTGGCAGGTGCACGGCAGAAAATGATAACCGTGTTATTTTCGATAATATATGATTGCTGGCGCGCTTCATTTTAAATAGCGTGACAATTTACTTCAGCATTGATATTATTTCACGCGAAAGTCTACTTTGTAGTATGATCAACGTGAACACAAATAATATTGTTCAGCCAAATGGCCTTGACAGTGAAGCTCAAAGCACTTTGACCTTTCATTGGCCAAACAAAACTCGTGTTACTGTTCGCGCCTCTTTTGGTATTCCAAGGATGGTCTTGCTGGCCATATTCGGAATTTGATGAATATTCAATGGGGAGTATCTAAAGGAAATGTATGTTTACTCGACGACAGTACTTTATAAAATTCCATTTAGCATTCAAAACACAATCCATTTGCTCGAAATTTAGACTTTAAGGTATTCAGCTAGAATAAACCTTTAGCTAGAGTGAGCATATCATCCACGACAAGTCTAAAATATTAACACATGTAATATTATGGAATGACGCGCCCTTCCGATTTTGCAGCGACACGTGCTTTTGTTGATATTTCATTCAACAATCACGACTATCCGAAGGCTTTGTTTTGGTTCCTTGTCCTTAGCATGACACTTCTTACACAGTGAACAATATTCATTTTAGAAAAGAGCGACGTATACCCATTAAATTAGGATATTTTGATGCAGGAGTACAAAATATTTTACAGAAATTTTAATCATGATTGTCAATGTCATTAACAAAATCCAAACCGGCCTACCACCGAGGATACGATTCATTTTACGCCACGACACATTTTTGGATATCCCGTAGCTTTCAGTATTTATTAAATTAATTGTTGTTCGTCCGCTTCCACCGAGATTGATATCGCAGACAAGTTGTCTTATTTTTATTATCTTAGAGCACGCCCAGGGTCTTTCCTGTGGGAGGAAACCAGGGGCAGATCCAGGAATTTTTGCAGGAGGGGGTTTGCCAGGTTCCTGAGACAATGTATCTCCCCCTCCCTCCTCCCGCATGCTCTCTATGGTCATTTTGGCGTATATACATAGGCCTACACATTAAGCTTTTTAAACAGAGAAATTCAACACCTCGTTTGATGTCAATTTTTATTATGAATTAATAAAATATGACTTTGTTATTCAATTTCATGGATGCAAAGCATTAATTGTGATATCACATACTGTCTGTATCATTATCTCGTGCTTTGAGTGCTCATAAAAAGTACTGATTTTCACAAAAAAATTTATGTAGCTGAGTGGGTCGCAGAACGCCTAAAAAAACGCGGTGACAATATTTTTTTACAAAATGATAAAAACACCCTACTTTTCTGCACCAAATAAAGACTGGCAAAGGCCATGCAGTATGCTATGGGTGAAGATCCCCACCCCCACCCCATCCGGCAATCGCGTTTCCGCCTGCTTCGTCAAGTCTCATCTAACACTGCAGGGACTATGTTTTTCGTTCCATCTAAACGACTAGACGCCATTCCTTACCATGTATGTCAGCCAAACCATCATTCAGAAACAACGGCCGAAATACCTTGAAATCTTATCGATATGAAGCAATAGAAGTTGGAATCTATAATAATATGCTACTTGTCATATTAAAAAAATGATTACTTTTGGATAAGGTTGATGGAGATATTTTAAAATGAAAGCTACATGCTGCATAACATTTTAATCATAGATTTTCTTATCTAATATGAAGTGACTTGTATACTGTACTTAATTAAAAAAAATATTGAACAAAACACAGAAGAAACCATAACTATGCCCGATAGACTGATGATAAAGTACACTCCCCTGATGCAAATGTATTACCAGAACAATATTGGCCTTTATGTATTACACCTACAATCTACTGGTCCATAAATTGTAGGGTAAATATACAGCCCACCTTTTCTATGTGTATTACAAGTATACTACTGATCCGCGTGTGTGTGTATTGCAAGTGTAATATACAGTTCTCTGGTTTACGCGCATTACAGGTATACCGGTCATGTGTGTATTATATGTGTATCTATGCAATGTATCTATGTTTTATACAGATAAAATATACAAGCTGCTGCCTCGACGATAATACCCTCGGTGGAAGCGGGGGTTAAGCCCTGCCAACAAGCGGTGTATTTTCTCCCTGGAACCCGGTATTTCAATATATGGAAGTAGTTTTTATTTATGAAATGTCTTCCTAAAAATTTATCCAAACGTAACCATTTTTGGATAAGCAGTATATTTCTATCATATTATTGCTTCACGTCTTTTTATTCAGTATATATTGGTTCATGTTTGTGTCTCATTGGTACGAAATGAGTTTTGTCAAACACTATCTTCCTTAATTTCGTTCAACTGATCCCTTAATTTCGTTCAACTGATCTAAATTTCCATGAGATATCTATAAAAAATCACACATTAAATTCTATTCTTGTCAGCGGTTTGGCTATGGTTTATAATTAATTTATCCAGTGTACGATATCGTTCCTCCTTATCGGTATGACACCGCTAACATTTCAATATAGTTTTAATTTTTTTTATGATGTAATTTCAATTTTGGATATTTATGATGTGTAGATATGCGTTACAACCTATCTATACTATTCAAAAAAAGTAGGGGATATTTGATTTTTAAGTGTTATTAAAGTCACCTAATGAAACTGACGAAGAAACAAATGACAAAATGAAATGAAGTTCACATTCATCGATTTATTCCAAATGATCGTTAGACTAAGTAAGGCACAGACTGACCATTATAAGGGTAAAATGATACCCAGGGTCAAACAGCAAAGTTACCACAGCATCACAACCAAGTCAGTAACGGGTAAATCCTCCTCTGTTTGCCAAACAAGCATTGATCCGACGTGGCATACTCCTAATGAGACGTCTAAGGTCATTTTGGTCCAGATTGTCCCATTCCTGTTGCAACGCAGCAGCAAGTTCTTGGACATTGGCAGGACGTTGTTGACGTTGACGTAACCTCTGTCCAAGCATGTCCCAGACATGCTCGATGGGGGAGAGGTCGGGACTCAGTGCTGGCCAAGGTAATGTGGTGATGTTCTGTTGTTGGAGGTAACCTGTAACGATCCTGGCCCTGTGACATCTTGCGTTGTCATCCTGGAAGATGAAACGGCGGCCATGACGTCGTGCGAACGGCACAGCATGGACTGCCAAGATGTTGTCCCGGTAGTACTGGCCTGTAACACGCCCTGCAACAACATGTAAAGCCGTTCTTCCAGCAACAGTGATGCCTCCCCACACCATAACAGAACCACCCCCAAATCGATCATGTCTGATGACGTTAACGTCTTGGAAGCGCTCGTTTCGACGACGCCACACCCTCCTACGTCTGTCCAAAAAATCAACAGTGAACCTGACTCATCTGAAAACATCACATTGCTCCAGCGTCGATTATCCCAGTGTTGACGATCCCTACACCAACGACGTCTTGCCTGAATGTGATGATCTCTCAAACAAGGGATCACGCGAGGACGTCGGGCGCGAAGGTGACCCCTATGCAGTCGATTCCGAATCGTCTGGCCACTCACTCTCACACCAGTGTCTGTTTGAAGACGAGCGCTGATCTGATTTGTTGTGATAACACGATTTCTCAAGGCCACGGATAAATCGATCCTGGGCTTGAGTTGTCGCCCTTGGTCGACCTGAGCGTGGTCTGTCCTGTACAGATTGTGTATCACGGTATCTGGACCATAGCCTGCTTATGACAGACTGAGAAACATTCATCGTCCGCGCCACAACCGCCTGTGTTGTGCCGATCTGTAGCATGCCAAGGGCACGTAACCTTTCATTTTGGGTAAGCCGACGCATATCAAAATTTGTTTTCTGGTCACTAAATTAACAATTAAACTGATGTTTCCACCCTGGAATTCAATGCCACAATGACTGTAACATTCAAAGTCAGAGTCGTGCAAATCTTGGGTTGGACCCCCATGATGATCCCAAGCATCACCTGCATTCCATGCGGTAGCTATTGGTGCGTTTGGGCGTCACATGTAACTGGAAATGTTTCTTCTGTTAGGTTCTATAGTGACTATTTTCGTAGTCATTTGCATATTTTAGTATTATGCCCCCAAAATCAAATATCCCCTACTTTTTTTGAATAGTATACCTTAGGTATACTTTTTTTGCAATAATCTTGGCGCTGTTGACAAACAGCGATCTTCTTGTCGGTGATTTAAGACAAACTAAAGACTTTTTTTTAACTTTAGTGAAGGATGAGTTCAATAAAATGAAATCTAGAAACACACCAGTAGTAAAAAAGATACAGCGATTATTTCTCCGTATCTAAGCAATTAAGTATACATTAACCGGGTTAAAATAACACACCTTCTTGGTGTATTTGTAAACACCAAGTGAGGTGCAGTGTCAACATTCGTAATTTAAGTTCACCAAAACAAGACACGGATGTAATTGAACATGACGCAATTGTATCCACAGAATAATAATGATTGTACAATGGTCCTTGTTTTTCGATAATTTCATGGTGTTAAGATTAAGCAGATTGAGAGTTGGTGGGGTGGGCGGGGGTCGCACCGAAATGGGATATCGTCTGGTCGCCTGGAGTGGCAACCCGTATGTCGTCATAAAGACAGTACTTAGTTTTATATTCAAGATCTGTTGAAATAACATTACTCACCAATTAACAGCTTGCGTTGATAGAACAATTTCAGAGTGCTTACTGAAAATAAGGCTTCGAAAAGTTTACGATATTTGGCTACGACGCGTTTACGGATTATCTAAAAATTCCGAAATGTGTACGAACTTCAAAACCGTCTACGATTTATCTACGAATAGGAAAAGTTTTGATTCAGGACGATTCGTTGCATTCGTAGCCCATTTTGAAGCGAGTCACGAAAGTTTTTGTTTCAAAAATCAATTATACTAACTTCAAGAACCGTCTACGATTCGGAAAAAGCTTCGGGAAGTTTCATGGGATTCGTAGCCCACGTGAAAGCGGGCCATTATCATTATTACGGACCCCCGTATCTGCTCTGGGTCAGCGACTCGAAAATTCCACAAAGTTTCAACAATTTACAGAAATCCTGTTTTTAATTAAATATGAAGGCCAATGACTTCGCCGATAGGAAATTTGGAGGGTTTAGATTTGGAAATATGCACGTAATAATTTGAACATCAAAACATTACTTCCTCGCACCACATTCACCGACAAGGCATTA